TTAATGTTCATTTAAATTAGTGCTTTGGAATGCAAGACTACATATTTAAGACCTGGTTGTCAGTTCTCAATTTTGGCAAGAAAATGCAGTTCTTATAGTTTACATCCAGAGTGCAGGTAAGTATTCAATTTTCAGAGAAATAATTTCCCGCTTTTTTTCTCTTATTGTCATGATTAAATACAACTCTATAACATTTGATACATTTTTGGAAAGCCCTTAGGCTCTAATTCAATAATCTGCAAACAAAATTTTGCAAATTTGCAAAATTTCAAATATTTATTGCAATATTAAGTTATTCAGCAAAAAATATGAAAAAACGAAAAGTGCGCGAAATATGATAAATTATACATTTTATGAAACTAAATTTCTATTTAAGAAAAACTGAAAATGTGCAAATTCTCTTAAAAGGCATCTGTGCAAAAATATATGCAAAATTTCTTCGCAAAAATTCACCATCAGCTTCCTTTTTTTCAAGTCTTTCCAAGAGCTATAAAAAGTCGAAATCCAATGACAGGAAGTGGGTCTAAATATAGATTTAGTCGAGTAAAGGTAAAATAAGGCATTCAGGCAGTATGCCTGAGGTCGAGGACTCAGGCTGTTGGTATAAAAGCCCCGCTTCAAACCTAAAGTGAGGGTCATGTGATACTTGAAAAGTCCAAAAATTTGAACAACCTTAGACCAATACTTTTTGAGTTATCTTTAAAAAACGTTTGGGGGGCAGGGTCCCAGCCGAAATTTATTTTGCTTTTGAGAGGCTCTGCAAAAATCTGAAATGGTTTATATAATTCAAAATTCTTCGAGGGGTAAATAAACCATCCATACCCGATTCACAACGAAACCCTGAGAAGCATTCCTTTGTTATGGAATGAATTTGATCCTAATATTAAACAAATTGAGAGTAAGCTTGGGTTTAAACTTAAGTGTTAAAAAAATCTTGCTTGATAAATATTTAGACTTTAGATGTGATAAACTCTATTGTTTCAGTTGCTCAAATTCTTAATTAATATTCAATTATAGCTTTGTGTCTCGCTTGACCAGCCTGTGAATCTGTTCAGCCAGGAATCGTATCTTTTACTCTAAACGCTAATATTTAGCCACCAGACTTCTTAAAGGAACCCTCACCTTTCTCTGCCAGGAACTCCAACCTTTCTAAATCTATTTTTTGTGAAACTTTTCAGGTTAAATTTTTTGATTAAAGACTGATTGTACGGGAGACCGACTGAAAACAGTTTCGGTTAGTTCCGTCTCACCGCTATAAACTGTAATTTCTACTAATGTTAATGATAATTATAAATATCCATCTATACATGTATTTTATGGCTAAATATATAATTTGATTTGATTTGATTTGAAGTATAAATCAAAAATCGATGGTTATTTTTAAAACTGTTTTATTTTAACTGCAGGAGGCAGCTTATCTAAACATCATATTTTAATAAAGGGATTTGAATAATATTTATTTCTTTTATCATTAATCTATAACAACTTCTACAAACAGCTACAGGGTGTCCCACGAAACATGAATAGTTTTGAATGTCTTCTACATACTATATTAGATTTTAAAGACTTTTTGTAGTTTATTTCAAAAATGTTTAACTCATATATAATTTACTGTGAAATCAATTTTACTCTAATAAAACTGTCATATAAAAAATGTTATTAGTCTCTTTAGTATCAAACAACTTATTAAATTATGGAAGAAGACATTTTAAACTATTCACCAACTGTCATGTTTCGTGGGACACCCTGTATTTTATTTCATTAATATGAGATCACATGGTGTACAATTACAGATGTATATACTGTACAGGGTATGTTTTGTCTTGTGCAACATGAACACTGCATGTACAATTTACATAGTACACTATTTAATATACACTGTGTACTGTACACTGTACATTGTACATTGTGCACTTAACACTGTACATTGTACACTGAATACTGTACAATGTACATTGTGCACTGAATACTGTAAACTGCATATGGTTAGCTAGGTACATTGTAAACTGTACATCTTACATCATACAATATACACTATGCAGTGTAATCTGTACCCTGTACATTGTATACTGTACACTTACAATAATAATTGGCAAGTTTTTATTATATTTATTTCATGAGATGCACTTTTTAGTATATTTAGGCCTATTTGTCTACCCCATCAATGGTTTTTTTTTATTTATTTAAAAAACCCATTTTAATTTATTTAATTTAGAATTTAAATGTGTTACTAAAAAATTATCCTAAACAGGAAACCGTAGATTGTCATAGAAATAAATTGAATTTTTTAAGTGAAATCATGACATTTTTTTGAGGATAAATTATTAACAGTTCAGCAATTTTCCATTTATTTTTATTCAATAAGAGTAAAGTGTATGGAATATCTACAGGGTGCAAAAAAATAAATTCGAACAGAACAATACAAATTATTTATAAAACTGTTTTGAACACCCTGTTACAAAATTAATCTTAACATAATAAACTTCAGGATTTTAACATTGTACATAAATTGTAAAATTATTTGAATTTGAAAGTTTGTACAACAATTGTGCTTGAATTAGCTAGAAGAAAGTTGTACAATTTATGTTTGTACATGTATGTACATAAAAGCTACTTTAAAAACTATACAATATAATTAATATTTATAGATAAAAGTTTGCATAAAGTTAATTGTCAATTTATATTCCACTTTTACATCGTACGTAATGTTGGCATTATTTTTACAAATTAACATTTTAAGTTGCATATATTTGACATATTTGAGTAAAAGTAACATTTTTTAATAGTTCGTTCAACGCTTATTTTTGGCCCCGATTTTGGGTTTGTTTTTGGTTGATCTTTTGAAAAACACGCTAATCTAGCCAGAGCTGAGCATGTCCGGGATCTGTCAATTTAGAGACCAGAATCACCGTTTCAGTATATTTTTAAAACCACCTTAATCCTTCAATTTCATAAAAATTTTGGGGACACCTCAAACACCTCCCCGTCTCCATAACTGGAAATTTTCATTTCATTTTGTTTTGTGGAGGGGGGGGGATAACCCATTTTTTATGTTGTTGCCTAATTCTGCAAAAATAATGAATAGCTGACAAATTTCCCAATTTTTTATTTTTTATTTAGACTGATTTTTTATGTTCAATTTAGTCTGATTTTTTTATTCAATTTAATCTGATTTTTCTCACTTTTCCTAATTTATAATCAATCAACTAAAAAGTAAATTGCAGTACGTTTTATCATCCTTTAGGAGTTTTGACAACAATATTTGATTCTAATGAATATCCTCCAGCATTGTGTGCAGTCAAACCAACCTGAAGAAAAATATTTGTCATTTTTTACTTAAATCACACTTTTCCCTTGTTTGACAAAAACCTTTTTAATTGAAAGAAGTGACAAAATTCTGAAAAATAATTTACAGTCTGAATTCTAAACTAAAAAGTCCTTTCCTTTTCTATCTATTTATGTGTTTAGCTTTCTCATGTCTTCAATCTAACCAGGGCAAGATAGGTTCGGTCTCTTTAATTTGAATTCAATCTAACCAGGGCAAGATAGGTTCGGTTGCCTTAATTTAAATTTAATCTAACCAGGGCAAGATAGGTTCAGTTGTCTTAATTTAAATTTAATCTAACCAGGGCAAGATAGGTTCGATTGCCTTAATTTAAATTTAATCAAACCAGGGCAAGATAGGTTCGGTTGCCTTAATTTAAATTCAATCTAACCAGAGCAAGATAGCGGTTTCTTTAATTTGAATTCAATCGCGTTTAGACATATAATTCAACAATCTTTAAAGTATGTTTAAGATTGTTGAATCGGAGATCAAGTCGTGATTGAATTAAAATAAAAATTAATAAAAATTAATAAAAATTAATAAAAATTAATAAAAATTAATAAAAATTCAAATAAAGAAGCTAAAAATTGATGTTTGATTGGTCAAATTGGCAAATTGTGATCGAAATCACGAACTGTGGGAGCCAAATAAAAGTCCTTATGATGGTGACTCCATTCGAAGCCAGGATTCAAAACTATTGAAAACGGATTTAAATTTCTTTAATCCAATAATTAATCCCTTAAATTTAAAATTTCCGGCCACTCAAGAAAAAAAAAAAAAAACCTGATAGAATGTATCTTGATAATCCAGCTGCAGTCCCCATCTCACGTTACCTCTGAAAAAAAAATATTTGATGTAAGAAAAATTTATCTATATATTTTGTCAATTTAGGCAAAGATTAAAAGTGTTGTTTTTAAGAAAAATAAAAACACAAATTTAAACCCTGAAGTAAAAATTCAGTGATAAAATTTGTAACTATTTTTTTCTTTCAAAATTAACGGAAAAAAATCCTCAACAATATTTTACCAAATTTGCGATAAGTTGATTTATAAATTTGAACAAAATAAAAAAACTTGTTTTATTAAAAATTTAGACTTATGTTTACTTGACTTTATAAAGTCAAATGAACAGAAGAAACAGTGTATAGGGTGTTGAGGCACATTAATTAATTTATGATTTTATAGGCTTCTTCTCGTAAAACTTGATATAGTCGTTTTTTAAAGTTTAAAAGTGTTTAAATCTGACAATTTCTAAATGTTTTCTTACAGTAAAAAATGAGCATTTGATATCTAATTCAGGCTTGATCAGCAAAAGCTTATAAGAGGATACCTTTGTTAATCGGTCATTGTCATCTTTGCATGGTATGGAGGGTTAATTAAAATAACGCTAACAAACCCTTCAAGTAATTGGTTTCAAGTTCGACAAAAAGAACAAGAACAAAATGTCTCATACATCGATTACCAGAAAACTAGAGAAATAGGAAGACGACTTTGAGAATCAAGTAATTACTTTAAAAAGTCCAATGAGCATAAGACACCGCAAGTGTGCAGTGTAAACTGACCCATTTTACTAAATAATTAATTTAATAAGTGTCCAGTAAATCTATTTGCTTTGTAACAACATCAACTACACTTCCTTATTATTGCTATAATGTTGTCTTCCTTTTCCGTTGTTTTCTGGTCATTACTTTATCAAACCTTAGATTGGGGGAGGAATATAACATCTCCTTTTAGAACCTCTCCAGGTCCTGTTTGTATACTGAGAAGGGGAGGTTCAGGATGCCCTGCTCCCAAAACAAATATTTCAAATAATAGAAAATCCACGAAAAAGAAAACTAGTTTACTTCTAATTGAGATTAAACATTGACCATTTTCCCCCTCAGAAAAGTCTTTGAACAAAGAAATATAGGCTCACTATGTGCAATTATGGTTTCTTTTACAAATATTTACCGAAGTTTAATGGAAATGATTAGATAATTAGAAACTAGAATGGTTTCATGTTTATAAGTAATTGAGAAAATTGAATAAAATTTGACAAATAATGTTTTGTTGTAAATTTTGAAAATACAATGGTCGCCGTTTATATCAATATAATAAAGACGACTTTTCTATTTAGGCTTGATCGTTTTTTACAAGCTTTTCCAAATTACAAGGTTACAAGTAAATATTAAAAGGATCTGTTGATTGACAGTTTCTCTTTGTTTACATCTTTATGTGAACCCAAGCTCTGAAGGCTTGCTAGAAATCAAAATTGAAATAGAAAGTTGTCTCCATTGCATTGATATGTACAACGACTGTATTTATTTTAATATTTGTATTTTCCTTGTTGGTTTGTGGTGATTTGAATGCCGGCGCCCCAGGGGGAAAATCCTACTCTGTTCTTACTTCCAAACCTAAAATAAACAATAATTATTGCGCAACTATAATTTTTGTAGCAGGCCAAGGAAGGTCTGAGGAAATTTTCAAAGATAGAGAACGAGGATATAACCGTCATTTTTCATTCGATTTAGGGCTTAAGTGAACCGTTATGCATCGTTGTGCTTTAAAATAAGGCTTACTTGAAATTAGTTCGACAGTCCCTTTATGCAATATATATGGGGGCAAGANTCAGTATGTTTATCTATTTCTGGTTCAGTATGTTTATCTATTTCTGGTTCAATATGTTTATCTAGATTTCTGGTTCAGTATGTTTATCAAGATTTCTGGTTCAATATGTTTATCTATTTCTGGTTCAATATGTTTATCTATTTCTGGTTCAGTCTAGTATGTTTATCTATTTCTGGTTCAGTATGTTTATCTATTTCTGGTTCAGTATGCAATTAAAAAAGATTGTACGCCTAATTCTAATTGACCCTCCATGCAAAGATGGCAGTGACCAATTAACAACGGTATCCTTTTAAGCTTTGGCTGATCAAATATAAATCATATATTAATTTTTATAATTTTGAAAAGCTGATTATTTTTAGTTCTGGTGTTTACTACAACAGTGACCGAATTAACCACTAACAACAATCAGTCAGTTCAGTTTTTGTTTCCGACAAAATTATCAATAACACTGAAAATTTTTTGAATAAAGTGCTTATCTTACAGTAAAAGTGCCATGTTATGTATTCTTCCGTTTTGTTTTTCTTGTTACATTTGACAGTTGTGACGTCGTGTATAATTGGTTCATTTCTCAGTTGCCACCTATTGCACTTGATAATCTATTTGGATACAATAAATCTTAAAAACTTCGAATGATTTTTAAAAAACTTTCAGAAAGGGCTGAAATCAATACAGAAATAGAATAGTAAACAGAATTTATCGATGGGACATAACAAACTTTGAGGGACTGTATGCGTAATTTCTTGTGACCCTCCATGCAAACATGACATGTATCACACTCCCCTACGCGCCCCCCCCCCATAAAAAACTAAAAATTAGACCAAAATAGCCCAATCGGATAGGTCTAGATCCTGGTCACCGGAATCATTCTATCAATTGGAAATATTTAGCTTAATCGGATAGGGCTAGATCCTGGTCTCCGGAATCATTCTATCAATTGGAAATATTCTAAAAAGAGCAAAGTTAGCTCGAAGATATATCTTCCACTCAATTCTTCCAATTGATTAAGTTTGATCAAACTTTTGAAAGTTTGTGGAAAAGAAACTTCTTCTAGACCCCACCAATCAGAACTCTAGACTTAACTCAAGCATACATTCAAGGATTAAGATCGTATGCATTTCAACTCTAACCCCGCTTTTATCAAAATAATAATAATAATAATAATAATAATAATAATAATAATAATAATAATGATCTTATACCTGAGATCGTATACGGTTTGTGGACTGAGGTTTTCTAATATATACCCGTTACCCTCCGTATCTACGCAGATTGTCAATTTTAGAAAAACTGATTCTTTGCCACAAACTCAATTTTTTAAATCTTTTTATCTTTGCATACCTTTGTATTTCAAACTATGAATTCTATTTGATCAGAAAATCCATGCTTAAACATCACAGTTTTACACCATCAGGGTAGAAAGATATCGAGATTAGAAACTTTGAATTTGTGGCAAAAACTCAGTTCCTTTAGATTTATAGACGCATGTTGGACCAAAAACAGTTCAGAAATAAAAGCTTTTCTCTTTTTTTAAACTTAAACACAATCTTTTCAAATAATTAAAAAAATTGCTATATTTGTACCAATATGGACCGGGCTAAAAGATCCGAAAATTAAAAATCTGTGTATTATTACTTTCATGAAACATGTATTTCTATTTTCTTGGAAAATTTAAACATTTTGTATTTCCTCTTTAATGTTTACAGGGTTATCCACAAAGGATGAGACTTCAGAGAAGATTGAACAGAATTTGTTTAGTCAGTGTTCTTACAGTCAGTGTTCCTTTAGGTTAAAACTGGTTTATTTCTGTGCTTAAAGGGACTGTAAAGGAAAAGTGAAAAGGAGTATAGGATAAAACCTGAGAATTTCAGGTTTTGAATGATACCTATAACTAAGACATTTATCTTATGTTCCTATCTCGAAAAATTGACATAAAACTGTGTCAAAATTATACCAAAACGGACATATGTCAGATTTTGTATAAAAGTTGTAGCATTAAACAGAGCATATTCAACAATTACGCAACCAATCTGAAAACCACTATATCTTACAGCAACCTGAAAATCTCAGGTTTGCTCCTGTTATCATGCATTATTTAATTTTTATTTTGCATTTTTTATAGATATAATTGATAATATTATTACATTTAATAAATGTCTTATAAATATCGTTCAAACCCTAAGATTCTCAGGTCCTATACCTCCTTTCATTTTTCCTTTACAGTCCCTTTAATAATATAAATACTCTATTGAATGCAGAAACCAAAAATCAAGATTCATATCGTCATATTTAAAGAGTTTTGGTCGTTTTTAGTCTTTGCAGTCTCATCCTTTGTGGGTAACCCTGTATGTTCACTGAATTGGGAAAATAAAATGATTTTTAGGGAGATTTTGGATAAAATCTACCAAAAACTTGACTTTTTTCAATCATTCTCCCCAGGGAGGGTAAATTCTTGAACAAATTTTTCTTAGCATTTACAAAAAAAAACTATTCAAAAATTATTATTTTACCTACAGGCCAGACCCTGCGTCTCGCTGACCCCCAGTCCTGTCGAGCTCTCTTGTATTCCACGGCGTAGGAATCAATTGGTAGTCCGCCCATATCAGAGGGTGGAACAAATCTACAAACAAATGTCGTCTTCTTTTCATAATTTTGACTAACGTTCATTTCACATTAGTTTCCAAACTAAACTTATATATTTCTAAAAATGAATCTGTGAGTAGTCAACCCAAATACAAGAGTGAGAAAAAAAATGGTAAAAGACAATAAAAGGGATAATTAACGTAACTTTAGACAACCCTTCGTGCAACACTTTATTTGAGTAACACAGCCCGATTCACAACAGTACTCATTTAACCAACAACTTTTCAGTATTTAAAATTGTAAAACATTAATTTATTCATCATTTATACTCTTTTCTCTGGATATCACATTTTATGATTGACAGGGTTTGCCAAAAAAAACAGGTGCAATACAAGACTTTTACTATAGTTTAGTTATTCAGAGATGGTTTTTAGAAATGTCTATAAACGTTTTCGTTTTCTAAAAATGTGTTATGATGAGAGCACTGCAAGGCTTGAAAGATTTTCGCACATTGATTTGAAACCAACACTGGATTTGAAGAACTTATGCAGTTTCTTTAGATTTGCTTTATTTGATGGTGAGATATATCCTCTTCAGCCGATTTCAAAAGGATGAACAGACACATCCCTATATCTGTGATAAAATGTTCATACTTGTTCATCTTTTGAGTGTTGGCATTTTTGATATTTGTTTCCAATGGGACAGTAAGCTTAAAAATAGCTATCTTTTCCTCCATTCTACCGATAATTACTAGATCTGGTTTATGTGCGGTCACAAGGAAAGGGGGGCACAATACCTCCCCCTGGAAGGGTATAGGACGGGATGTCGGCATGCATAAAAAATCAGTCAATATCAATTAATCCAGTGATATATTTAATAAGATTGTTATGCATCCAAGTAGGGTTGTTAATCGTTTTTGAAAAAAATCGTTAAACGATCGTTTTTTGCTTCGTTTTTCAACCGTTTTCAAAAACGTTCATTTCGTTTTCGGAAAAAACTATCGTTTTTAAAACGACCCACTCGTTTTAAATATTTAGAAAACGAATAACGATCGTTTTTATGAAAGCGATTTGAGAACGTTTTTTATACGATTGTTTTTTAAAAAAAGATCGCTTTTAAAAAAAAAGATTGTGTTAAAAAAAATTTACTGACAATAAACGAAAGGTCGTCGTTAACGATCTTTAACGAAAGGTTGTCGTTAACGAAACGACGAACTTTATAAAAACGGTCGTTTTTGGAAAAACGATCGTTTTTGAAAGAAAAAATGTCATGCAATTTTATTGAATGTCGTCTTATATGAAGTTAAAGAGTAGTGTGGGAGCTAAAACTTCTTGATATTTTCTTAAAAACTACTCAATTATAAGTACAGATGCCCTTTAGGTCGGTTTCGTCTCTTCGTTAACGATTGTTAACGAAGCGAAGAGTTTTAAAAAACTATCGTTTTGAAAAACGATCGTTTTTAACAACAATAATTTTTCAAAACGATCGTTTTAAAAACCACCATTTTTAAAAAACGATTGTTTTTAAAAACGATAGTTTCGTTTTCGATTTTTCGTCGTCGTTTTCATAACGAAACGATCGTATTTCAAAAAAATGAAAGCGTTAACATCCCTACCTCCAAGTATATCTCACAGAATTTTAAATATATCTTTTTTGGTGTAGTGCAACCTTGCAGCCATTTAAAATATGGTTTGTAGTTTCTTGTCTCCTACCCTGCAATTTAGCGCCTGCCTGTAGACATAGTTTACAGAGATCTGATGCAGATTTTCCCCATTATAGAAGGTTAGTTTGTGTTGGCAGGGTGTCCAAACAGGAGTTGAGTAGGAATTTCAGTGTACCTTTCTTCAGATTGAACATGTAAGATTTCCAGATCATGTAAGATTTTTCAAGCATTGCCAGGCAGAGAAAATGTCCTTGTTTTATGAGTGTTTCTGTATGTTCTCTACAGAAAGTTTCATTTTCACTGACAGTTTTTTTTTATAGCATTGATGTTTGGAAGCATGGTCATCCCACTTAGGCATTTCTGCTTGACCATAGTTCTCTAATGTGGCTTGTTGAAACATTTTTTTTTTGCAAAGTCTGTGATGGAATTTTTGCAGAGCCAATTTTTTTCCCTGTCTAATTAAGATTGTAAGGCAGAGTTAACTGTTTCATCACCCAGTATTCTTATCCTAGTGTATGCTTGCGTCATAGTTGTTTTGTACAGGGTGGATATTGAAGTGATGTCTAGGCCAGGTTTCAAGTGTAGATCAGCATTTGTTGCACAGGGTGGTAATCCAGTCCATTTTTTCACAAATTTATCAGTGAATGTATCTAGTTTCTTCAGATGGCTTTGTGATATTGTATGAACAGTGAGCAGAAATCGAATAGAAGGAATGAAATAATGTTTTTAAATCCAGACTTTATATTTATCCCAAACAAGAAGTGCATTTATGTTTATTAGTTTTTTTTCAAATTCACTCTTGATGTAATCTAAGTTTACGAGTAGGAAATAGAAGTTTGCCAAGGAATTTCTGTTTTTCTTGAAATATATTTGGAATTTCAGTTTCACCAATAGTAAAGTTTATTCTGCTAGGTACACCTGATCTGATGGAAAATGATCTACATTTTGCTGGTTTTAATCTCATTCCCATACTTCCAATCTTGGATTTTATTTAATTTTAATTTTTTTTGATGTTTTCTCAGATCTGTTGTTATCAGGCAAAGATCGTCAGCAAAGGACAAGTAATAATTTTCTCTCTATTCAGTTTAAATCCACAATCATTCTTACTCTGTATCTAATTCATACTTGATCCTACATAGCTTAAAGGGGTACATTTGTGAATCGGATGTTGCCATCTGTGCATAGAGGGCCACTTTAAAATACACTCACAGTCCCTTTGGATCCCTTCCCCCTTTCATAAAACCATGATTGCGCTGATGACAGGAATATATCTAATTTTCAGTTTTGCTCATGACATGGTTTTTGTTAATTGCAATTATACAGGGTGTCCCAATAAACATAGGAATTTAGTGACGATTTTGATATCGTCTTTGTATAAAGTATAAAGAGTTGGACCATGATGGTTTAAAACATATATGTATTTAGACTTAATTGATTTATTTGTATTAAATTCTACCTGAACTGAAGTGAAGTTGCCGTGTTTTTATCTGAAAACAAACCTTTGTATTAACTTTTAATATCTTTGTCAAATTATGGCCTAAATTGTCAATAAAAGCCCTGACATTTTTTGATGCATGATTCTTAAAAATATATAAAATGCAATTTGTTTAAATAAACTAGGATTTTCCCTTTGTGTAAGAACAATTTAAGGTTTTGCAGATTTTCTGTCCAAAAATAACTAGTCTTTTTGGTACGTTTATTTTGATACCAACAAACAAACGACTTCAATTATAAAAATGATTAAATAAAGCTAAAAGATTATCCTAACCTAGCATAGCTTGTTGTAGTTCTGTAGGTTCATGAGCCTCTTCTAGTTCTATATCATGGAAAGCTAGACCATACGGGTTCTCGGCCTTACACTTATACACCCGATAGTAGCTTGACACTAAACATACGAAATTAAAGGTATTGCAGAGGATATAGTAGATAGACACTAAATATCAGGAATTAAAGGGACTGTAGAGGATATAGTAGATAGACACTAAATATCAGTAATTAAAGGGACTGTAGATGATATAGTAGATAGACACTAAATATCAGTAATTAAAGGGACTGTATAGGATATAGTAGATAGACACTAAATATCAGTAATTAAAGGGACTGTAGATGATATAGTAGATAGACACTAAATATCAGTAATTAAAGTTATTGCAGAGGATATAGCAGATAGACACTAAATATCAGTAATTAAAGGGACTGTAGAGGATATAGTAAATAGACACTAAATATCAGAAATTAAAGGTATTGTAGAGGATATAGTAGATAGACACTAAATATCAGTAATTAAAGGTACTGTAGAGGATATAGTAGATAGACACTAAATATCAGGAATTAAAGGGACTGTATAGGATAGAGTAGATAGACACTAAATATCAGGAATTAAAGGGACTGTAGAGGATATAGTAGATAGACACTAAGTATCAGGAATTAAAGGGACTGTTGACACTTCATCATTAGACAATAAAGGATTTAAACCTATTTAAAGTTGTTACTGCAGTATGATTTAAAATTAGTAAACAATCCCTTAAATATGACAAAATTTAGTCTGAATAATGGATGAATTAAAAATGATCCGACCTATAAGTCTATAACCTATTTTTTTAAAAAACTAACCTAGAGGAGTAATAATTAGGTCTGATATAGGTTTATAACCTATTTTTTAAAAGTACTAACCTAGAGGAGTAATAATTAGGTCTGATATAGGTCTATGACCTATTATTTAAAAGTACTGACCTAGAGGAGTAATAATTAGGTCTGATATAGGTCTATAACCTATTTTTTAAACGTACTAACCTAGAGGAGTAATAATTAGGTCAGATCTAGGTCTATGAACTATTATATAAAAGTACTAACCTAAAGGAGTAATAATTAGGTCAGATCTAGGTCTATGAACTATAATATAAAAGTACTAATCTGAAGGAGTAATAATTAGGTCTGATCTAGGTCTATGACCTATTATATAAAAGTACTAATCTAAAGGAGTAATAATTAGGTCAGATCTAGGTCTATGAACTATAATATAAAAGTACTAACCTGAAGGAGTAATAATTAGGTCTGATGTAGGTCTATGACCTATTATATAAAAGTACTAATCTAAAGGAATAATAATTAGGTCTGATCTAGGTCTATGAACTATAATATAAAAGTACTAACCTAAAGGTGTAATAATTAGGTCTGATCTAGGTCTATGAACTATAATATAAAAGTACTAACCTAAAGGAGTAATAATTAGGTCTGATCTAGGGCCGTGACCTATTATTTGAAAGTTCCTATCCAAATCATCTCTTCCTATCTCCACATCATTATACCACCAGGAGATCGTGGCGTTGGGAATACTTCGAGCTGAAATAATATGGTTTTAAAGGCGCAACTAGGATATTTCAAGGGGGGATGAATAATTTTTATATAAAGTGCACTACCGCACGGAGCGGGCAGAATATTTTTTAATATTTAAATTTTAGCATTTTGAATTGTTTATGAAGAAGCTCGTCATTTTTACCATTTGTCATTGTTTTTGCCCTGTAAATTTCCGCTTCCTCATGTGCGAGTGTTTTTCATTATAAAGTTTATTTAACAGCTTTAAAAAATTCGAAATTGAAATGGATAGTCTAGGAAACATGCTGTATAAATGTACTCTACTGCATATTATTTGTGAATATTTACATGATTTGTACACTTTGAACTCCCTTTCAGGCTGAAAAGGACTGAAAAAATTCATACCGAGAGATACTTTAAATTCCACTCTAATATATATTCTATTCTCTATGATTTTTCAGTTCATTATATTTTTAATTATAAAGTACATATATTACCTACACATGTCAGATTTACAGGCCTCTGATCCCAAGACCATTCCTAATCAGAACAATTAGTGAAGGATTTGTGGGTTTATAACTTAATTCTTATAAAGTAAAGGAACTTTTTCAGTGGGATCCATAAAAGCAAGGAAACAGGAAGACGATATTTAAACAATTTTTATGTGCAAACGTTTTATCATTTAAATGGCTCTGTATACATTGCACGATTTCTGTGTGCAGTGTTTCATGTTCATGGGACTATTCAAGTTCAAAACTAGAGTCTAACAGTCGTCGTTTTTTTCCACAATTGTACAATAGAAAACACAATCAGTTAAAGCTTATCTTTTAATCCCATCAAATTGAATGATCGTTCATTTAAGGGACTGTAAGCGTAATTTCAAGTGATACTCCATGAAAAGATGGCAATGTCCGATTCACAACGGTATCCTCTTAAGTACTTTTAAAACTAGAAAAACGACAATATTTTCCACATATTTGATTAGATAAAGATTTCAAAGGTAACGTTGATAATTAGGCATTTTCTTCTGTGCATACCTCAGCAGAGGTATGCTCTCTTCTCGGGGCAGTAGGCAACAGATACTTCAAATCTTCAAATCTTAAAATCTTTTTCCCTCCTCAATCATTTAAGGACTCCAAAAATCATAAAAGTAGTAAATTTGAGGCTGCAAACACTCTTGGGTCGCACTGTACAGACAAAAGACAGTTGAACAGTACACCAAACAAATTATCCGTCTCGTTCTTTTGAGATTATTGTGATGCATGCTGTGATATATTGATTATTGTGATGCACAGTTTGGATTGCTGTGATATACAGATTATTGTGATGCACAGTTTGGATTGCAGTGATATATAGATTATTGTGATGCAATGGTTGGATTGCTGTGATATATAGATTATTGTGATTCAATGGTTGGATTGCTGTGATATATAGATTATTGTGATGCACAGTTTGGATTGCTGTGATATATAGATTATTGTGATGCACAGTTTGGATTGCTGTGATATATAGATTATTGTGATGCACAGTTTGGATTGCTGTGATATATAGATTATTGTGATGCACAGTTTGGATTGCTGTGATATATAGATTATTGTGATGCACAGTTTGGATTGCTGTGATATATAGATTATTGTGATGCACAGTTTGGATTGCTGTGATATATAGATTATTGTGATGCACAGTTTGGATTGCTGTGATATATAGATTATTGTGATGCACAGTTTGGATTGCTGTGATATATAGATTATTGTGATGCACAGTTTGGATTGCTGTGATATATAGATTATTGTGATGCACAGTTTGGATTGCTGTGATATATAGATTATTGTGATGCACAGTTTGGATTGCTGTGATATATAGATTATTGTGATGCACAGTTTGGATTGCTGTGATATATAGATTATTGTGATGCACAGTTTGGATTGCTGTGNTTTTGTGTACAGGGTGTCTCACAAATAAATATATTCTTTTTATATAGAGGGTGTGTCATAATAAACTTAATTAAAATACAAGTTAAAAAAATACATTAAAAACAGTGCGCGGAACATATTTTTAATTACAGGGGGATTATAATATTTGAAGTTTTTACGGGGAAAAAAATGCACATCATCAGGGTTTATTTTTTACATTACATTCATACTTTTTAATACAAATTTTTGACCCCCCAAAAATTTCTATTTACAGGCCTCCCCCTTGCGGCTCCTCGAAAAAATCCTCTTAAAATTTGTTTGACTTTTTAAAATTATTTAACAAAGTAGAGGCCGACAATAATATTTTTGAGAAAAAGGGGATTTTTTTTAGAAAATATAAACCCCTGATGTAAAATATATATTACCTGGAGCAAGTACAGTTTGATCTCTGACAATAATCCTGGGATCATCAGGTTGACCTCCAGCTAGGTAGGGTTCACTTAAATATATTTTTCTTTGATTTTTACTAATCATAAAAATTATAGAAAAACCAATTAATATCCACCAATAAATATACGCATAACACAATCCCAGAAGGGGAGGTTCTCGACACTTAATTTGATGACAGGAAAATCGTCTTTGATCTTAAAAACAAGTTTTGTGGCAATAAGACAATTTTAGTTTTATTTATTGAATTTAAATATAAACGAGATTTATCACATCTCTGGATTCTGGAAATGGCAGAACTAAGCCATTTTTTTCAAGAATCATACTTGTAAAAATGTAAGCAACAAATTATTATAAAAAGCAAAGACGATCTTCAATTGGTGAGAAATTCTGCTTCTTTATGAACATCACTGTACAAATCTAATACCAATAAAATACTTTAATACATATTTAATACTTTCTGAACAACGTGTTTAAATATTCAAATTGACATAAATCCACTTTAGGGGAAATATTCAATAATTTAAAATCTCCTTTAGAGACAATACATACAGCGGGACCCTGAAATTGTGGAATAGGATGACGACATTTTAAAGATTTTATGTGCAATTGAGTCCAATCTATATACTGTTATATCTAGGTTTATATATGATGTAAATCCTACACATGTCCAATCTATATACTGTTATATCTAGGTTTATATATGATATAAATCCTACACATGTCCAATCTATATACTGTTATATCTAGGTTTATATATGATGTAAATCCTACACATGTCCAATCTATATACTGTTATATCTAGGTTTATATATGATATAAATCCTACACATGTCCAATCTATATACTGTTATATCTAGGTTTATATATGATGTAAATCCTACACATGTCCAATCTATATACTGTTATATCTAGGTTTATATATGATATAAATCCTACACATGTCCAATCTATATACTGTTATATCTAGGTTTATATATGATGTAAATCCTACTTGAGTGACCATTTTCTCCAGATTATCCGTGGTAAAGGTTCTCCTGAGGCTTTACAGATCAGTTCTGCTCCCATCCTTCCAACCTAACCAAACCAAACCAAACTTATAATCAGCTCCCATCCTTCCAACCGAACCAAAACAAACCAAACTTATATTAAGCTCCCATCCTTCCTACTTAACTATACCAAAACAAACTTATATTTAGCTCCCATCCTTCCAACCTAACCAAACCAACCAAACTTATATTCAGCTCCCATCCTTCCAATCGAACCAAGCCAAACCAAACTTATATTTAGCTCCCATCCTTCCAACCGAACCAAACCAAAACAAACTTATAATAATCTCCCATCCTTCCAACATAACCAAACCAAACCAAACTTATTTTTAGCTCACATCCTTCCAACCGAACCGAACCAAACCAAACTCATATTCAGCTCCCATCCTTCCAACCAAACCGAACCAAACCAAACTTATATTAAGCTCCCATCCTTCCAACTTAACCAAACCAATCCAAACTTATATTTACCTCCCATCCTTCCAGCCAAAAGAAACCAAACCAAACCAATCTTATATTTAACTCTTATCCTTCCAACCAAACCAAACCAAGCTTATATTTAACTCTTATCCTTCCAACCAAACCAAACCAAGCTTATATTTAACTCTTATCCTTCTAACCAAATGAAACCAAACGAATCCAAACTTCTTTCATTTTGAAAATCCTTTAATTTCAAACCAGCTCAATGCCCAATTTCCATCAAAAACAAAAGCATGTCAACACAAAAAATTTTGTAAAAACTTTAGACTTTATAGTTTGAAAAATATCAAATTAAAAAGTTGGAAATATGAAACACACATTTCTTGAAACTTTTTTTGTTTGAAAACTTTACTTTTTCTTTCTCTAATATTCTTTAATAAATAACAGATCGGGTGGATTTGCAACAAACAATGCAATATTCTTGAAAGGTTTTCTGGAAAATGAAAATAAAGAAATGAAAGCAAAGAAATATAAAATCTTAAATATGTTAAAGGGACTCCCGGCCGTTGTAATCTTCTTTTTTTTATAGAGGATTCTCAACGATACTCTAATAAATCTTTAGCAGATCTGCAATGTGGATACTGGTGTCGTTTGTCTAGCTTTACAAGTGTTCTGTTCTGATAATTTCAGCGATTGTTTCTGTTGCAGAAATCAAAAATGTTTAAAACAATAAATGTTTCATTCTTGATCAGAAAAGCATTGTGAATCGAACATACCACTACAGTTCCTTTAAATCGAATAATAATAAAATTGTTTGTTTTGTTTCCTCAAATGTTTTGTTGTACAGCTCCTGAACCTTCGGCCTGCAGTACAATAAGGTTTATCGTTCTGTTTTACAGGGTACATTGTACAGGCTTATATAGCATTAGCTTGGGAGCCCAGCGGTGCCCAGGTTACTCTATAGTTAGTCCCGCCTTTAACCCGCACTTGGCCGTAAATTACGACTCAACTTAGAATCTCAAAACCAAGCTACAAACATTTCCGTGGTTCTCCCGAGTTCCCCAATCAAAATTTGAGGCAAATCGGTCCAGGTGTTCCTGAGTTATTATCGGGCAAACAAACAGACAGACAAACAGAGATTACAACTTTATATAGATGTACGACGTACATTGTACTTACAGCATAGGTAAGTTTTTTGAAAAACAGTTTTCCTCTTATAATGATTTTTTTAATTAAAATTTTAACAATAAAGAAAGTTATAGAAATTTAATGGAAAATTATATAATATATTTGGAAAAATTGAGAATAAACAATGAAAAGAAGCATAAACAATCTGGTTCAGAAATCATTTTTTTAAATAAAAAATATAAAAAATAAATGGAAAATCAGAAATGGACGATAAATCTTTTTTCCTGATGATGACTGATAAATAAGCAGAGGCTTGTTCCCGTCCTGCATTGTTTTCAGCTATACAGGTATACGATCCTTCATCTTGCCTTCTCAACTACAAAATATCTTTTAACTACAGAAAACTAATTAGTTGTTTTATAGAAACAGGTTGAGAAAATAGAAATTAATCTTATCAACGAAAATAAGTAATCTTGTTCAATTATTAGTTTCTATTTTCTCATTATTCCGGTTTCACATTATTCACAAAGATTTTCTGCAGATTTTCTATAATTATTATTGAAAAAACGACATTTGAAGAGTTTGAAGAAATCTGCGAATAAATTCAAAGAAAATAAGAAATTCAATATAATGATGAAAACGAAATAATTGATTGATTGATGTATAATTCTACTTTATTTTTTTTAAAACCGATTCTGAAAACGTATCCACCCAAAAGTACGATTTTGAACGTCGACTTTGAGCTCAAACTCAGGATTTACAGATCTTTAAAAAGTTTTGTATGTCTCAAATGAATCTTTAAGAATTTGTCTACAACATTGCATACTCAGTACGGTCAGTTCAACTACCTTACATAGCTGGTCTGTCCCTTTAAGTATTGTACCTGGTATCCTGTGAGTGTTCCAGTAATCTCATCCAACTTCCAACCTTACGTAAATCATATTAAAAGGGACTGTGAACTAAGTTTCAACTGAATCTTTAAAGTGGCCTGTCCTAAATCCTAATTCCTCTTATGGGGAAAAGAGTAGGATGCGTTCAAAAACCTTTATCAAAGTTTGCTATTTTATTTGCGCTCTCCACAAACATGTATTGAGAGGAGCAACCTTCCCTAGCTTCTAAAAAGAGCAAGCAACACCCCCAACATGTTTAAAGAGGGCAAATGGTCCCCCAACCTACTGAAAATATCCTTCTGGAGAGGAAATAAAACTGATATATTGATATTTATCAAACGCGAGGTGTAAAAATAAAGTAAATAGTGATGAAGACTGGAAGAGAATTCCTAATATAAAACAATAACAAAGTTTACAGCTTCAGGATTAAGTTGCTGTGATGTAAGTTTTCTTTTTCCTTGCTTTGGCAAAATATTTGCACAGAGGTGTTTTTTTCTTTTTTGATGAACCATTCCCCAACCCCCTTTTCTCTTTGAACAAAAATATGTTAATTTTTTTTTGTTAAATTGGGAATTGTACGTTTTCTTGGGTAAAAAATATCAATAAAGGTGAATTTTTTTTTCAAAATTATCTATCTATGTAATTTTGATCGAAAACGAACTAGAAAAAGTAAAAATCCTGGCAAAAACTTTTTTGAACGCATAATATACCCATTACAATGACTTGTAGGGCGATAAAGTAACTTTTTCGCCCTACAACGGGAAATATTAGGTGTGATAAATTCTCTCAAAATTGAATAAAAAATATAATAAAATAAAGAGATTTTTAATTTAATGTATAATTTTGGTTTGCTCTTTGAGATTTGCTGATGTCTTTTTGAAAATAAAACTAAAATTGGCGGATTCAAAAAGATAGAAAATAACTAAACACTTTCCTTCCCGGATTTTTTTTTAATTTTTCAATCTTAAAAATTTATTTCAATTAATTAATGTAAGGGGAATGTTTGTTTGTATCCAATAATTGTCTAATTGGTTGCAAAAATCGGTCCCAAATTTTATGTTGAACCTCAGATAACTTTGGAGATTTATTATTTTTTTTTTATTTGAAAAAATCCGCCAGTAAAAACAGAAAATCTGTGAAATCTATAACTGCGTACGTCTAGTTGAATATCTCTCTCCTCGAGCTCCCCAGTCTCGGGGACCCTGGCCCTGCAGGTGTACGTCCCGGCGTTCTCCTACACTCAAATTATCAAGAACATTTCCAAACATTCGTAAACATGGTAAAGAAAAAAAAACTTTCAGAAACAAGGAGAGATTAAACCTAAAACCATAAACGACAGATTCCCAAAAAACTCAACTTTTTGATTTTCTTTATCGCCCAATTATTGAAATAATGTATCTACTTAAGAAAAACGTGGTTTAAAGAAAAGATTTTCGTGACATTAAAATAGATTGTATTTAATTCCGAAAACTATTAAATATAATGAACTTTACAATATGTTATAAAATTACAGTTTATAAACCGTTAAAGTCTTTTAAATTTCAAAATTAGGTCAAAAATTTAGTACTGTTCAAAACTGGCTTTTCAATCTTAAGGACTGATAATGATGTAAAAACATCCAAATATATTTCCTACTTTGAAGTTGTGCATTCTAACACTTGAATTATTTATTAGTTCAGAAAGCAAAAATCCGTTTCTTCTGAATTGTAGTCCGACATATACGATTATTCCTTTTTCACCTTTTGATCAAGAAGTCTTAAATAGTCTTATCCCACCCAATGTGCGCTAGAGAAAATATAAAAATATGAGCTGTATTTCATGGATTGCCTGTAATTAGAAGTGTTCACTGTTGTTAAACAGATCATCATTGTAAATTTGCACAATCAGATTCAAAAGTTTCGAACTTATTCAAAAACATTTTCAAACTACAATAAATTTTCTTTAAGTATTAAATAAACAATTTTGATGATTTGGTTCCTTGCTAACGCTTTGTATCACTAATCCATCACTTTCAATCACATACTGATCACCTTAAATCAATCAATCAATTAAATCACAAAATTAAACATTTTTCAAATCACATTCTCGATGGTGGCTCAAATCTCCTAAAGGAGAAAGAGAAAGGCAGAGGATTTTCCAAAACACATTCAGAGATCCCTTGAAAATCCTACTTGATTTCCGTAAGGTAATGGATGACAAAGAGTGTACCAAAAAGTGGTTGAACAATGGACATCTAGGGATTTTTCCAAAATTCAGACAATTTATTTTTTTTAGTTTTTAAATCAAAATAAAAACGTCCATTAATTAAAACAAAAATAAAGTCTTTTTAATTTGAAAAATACGTAATTTGTTTTCGTTACTTTTTCATTTACATCTTAAAATAAATGTATCACTTAACATGCGAGTTTTCAGAGGCTTGGGGTACTCTCATATTTAATCACAGATATTTTTAACATGGATTTTTAGGTAGAGTTAGATTGATTTATTTAAGTATAGGCTAAATATTTTATAGGACTATGGACATAATTCAGAGTACACATCCATTTAAATAATCACGGACTATACAGGGTTACCCACACAGGACGAAACTTCAGAGACGATTGTACGAAATTTATTTTATTCTTTTCCTAATATTCATGATTCTCTGCAACTCTAAACTTTTTTATTTCTTTGCCAAAAATTGAATAAGAGGTTACAATATTTAAGGCAGAATGCATATATTAACCCGGGGACTGTTATATTTCAAGAGTTTCCGGTCGTCTTTACAGTCTCATCCTTTGTGGGTAACCCTGTATAATGTAACCTATAAACCTTTTCTTAGGAACAACGAAGAAGATATCTTTGTTTTTCTATCATAAAATTTCACACAAACAAAGATTCCAAGGGTTCTGTTGTGAATCGGACAGGGAGGGTCAATTAAAATTACATCGAAAGTCCCTTTAAGTTCAGATAGGTTTAACAGTTTAAACACAAATATTCATGTTTGTTAATATTCAGAAAACTTTCTAATCACTATTTATCTATTTATTTTATTAACATTTATCCTGCATGCTGCTTTAAACACTTTTTAAATCTTTCCTGTTTTATTTTGTTAACACTTAGAGTGGGGAGTGGGAGGGT